TCCCCTGAAGCAGAGAAACAGGGAGGGGAATCTGGGGTGTGCGGAGGCTGGGAGGATCTGGTATGGAGACGATGGTGGAGGAGGGAGGACTTTGGGGTGGAAGAGATGGGGAGGCATGTGGGGTGAGTACAAATATATCAGTGTTTCTCCTGAGCTAGATCATAAACCGGAAGAGGTGTCAGCAGGGAAAAGCAGCATGTGCGTGCTTGAAGTCAAATAGGGAGTGTCGTCCGTCATTCTGGTTCAGGTCAATTTTGGTCCAAGGACGGTCCAGACGGTCCCCAGCGGACCATTTCTAAGGGCTAGTGCGGCCCGGCCCCTAACTTGCTTACTCAAACTCATCGAGCTATTAGTACTCTCAACCCCCTCGCCTCCCCGTCCTATCTTGAGGTTATCTTGAGTTGATTTCGGGGCTTTTAGTGTCCCCGCGGCCCGGTCCTAGACCAGGCCTCCACCCCCAGGAAGCAGCCCGTGACAGCTGACTAACTCCCAGGTACCTATTTACTGCTAGGTAACAGGGGCATTCTGGGTGAAAGAAACTTTGCCCATTTGTTTCTGCCTCGTGCGGGAATCAAACCCGCGCCACAGAATTACGAGTCCTGCGCGCTATCCACCAGGCTACGAGGCCCTCGTATCCTAGATCCCAGTAATCACGGCGTTACAGACACGGGTGCTGTGTCTACTGTGAAGGCATAGATGTAGATTGTTACAGAGCAACATTAATGTATTAGAATACTACGATATTGCTGAAATGTCAAACGGTCGAATTGAAAGTTAATTTTTTTCCGTCCTTGTCCCCTAATTAGGTCTAGTGTGGATCGAAACGTCACTTTCATGTGAGGTTTGATTATATCACAGTGGACTCAGTATACCCAAGAGGAACGCCAGTTCAACGTTTGATAACTTATATTCTACGTCGAGCCAACGTTACTTTGATATAGTGTCCACTAGGACGTTTAACATTTTCCATTGTACATATTATACAGGCATCAAGCGTATCTTAAACATCAAAGACCTTTCATAACAACATATTACTCGAGTGTACATATCGGAAACCTTTGATGTATTCAGTGGAACCTCGATCGTGGTACAGGTATTGTCTGCTCTAATAACCCTGTACACGCAGCCAGCATACAACTCTCGGAATATCAGTATTCTTAGTTACGGACGAAGGCCTTTAAATACATGGGCTTAACATTAATAACTCTGTGGAAAGCATTATAATGATTAACACGCACTAATATGACAAGGTGCAAGAACTGTGCGATTTAAGACTACCAGTCGCCACGAGCATTTAACACCAATATTTATTTTCCTATTCAAGAACTATCAATAGACCATGCTTGTCAGGGCCCCATTTGCCGTCTCTGGGTTGTCAGTTCCAGACTATCAGGAGACTTTACTATTAAGTAGTCTTGACACATTTTTAATGAACGAAGTAGTCTGCTGACTGGGAGATATAACACGGGCGGAGAGAAAACTTGCATGTGTTAATCATGCGCATGTTCACTTTAAACCTTAAATTTGAAGTTACAAGACTGCATTGAAGGTCGTTTTTATGGAAGGAGCTTCAGTGTAGCTATTGATACAATAAAGTTTCAATTAGGTAAGTAATTATCAAAAGAAGGCACCAAACTGGGAAGATTATGTAGCACCATCATATGTGAGGAATAATCAGAGGCCACTAAATATCACCAAGGATGCCAATACGATAACAGAAACACACATGGCGAACGATATCAAAAGTATCCGATTCACCAAGAATTCTATCTAGGGACAAGCGGCCACGATTGACGCTTTATGTAATGCTTTTTATTCCTTTACGGATTATTTCTTTCATTATTCTTTCCTCTTTTTTTTTTACGTTCACTGTGCATGGTTGATTTGTAATATAATCAACCATGCAAAGTGAACATAAAAAAGAGGAAAGAATAATGAAAGAAATAATCTGTAAAGGAGTAAAAAGCATTACTCCTAACCAAAACATAGACCTGATCATATTCTACAAAATTAAGAAGACTTCCGAACTCTATCAAAAACAGCCCGAAGTCGACGGAGAACCCTCTACAACAGTCAAGCGTTGTATACATGTACACTTGCCCCCCACGATGGATGTAACCTTCAATCTAAGTACATACGTATGACGTCGACCAAGCTGACGAGGCGTTTGACATGCCATCTTCAATCCGGTGCCAACAGGAATCACATGAGACAAGCCCATGACATCACCCTAACAAGAGAAATGTTGAGCAAAAATACCTGTATAATACACAAAACCCAAGATGCAAGAAGATTACAAATTCTTGAAGCAATTCACATAAGAATGAAACAACCTACAATGAACACCCAAATCACGGAACTATTTACTCACTATTTACCCACCATGAGAGTAAGGACAAGACCAGACCATAACGATGCCAACACAGAAGACACTGTTCAACATAACAGGCCAATTACACCTGATTAATCTTTGTATGTAGATACGAGCTGCCTCGTATGGGCCAATAGGCCTTCCGCAGTTACCTTTATTCTTATTTTTTTTGTTCTTATGTGCTTCGCCCCTATTTATCCCCCTATGTATCCCCTTTGTTTTTACCTTTATTATTTTCTCATCTGACCCATTACGGTTATAAATCAACGAGTTCTGTAATTTCTTTTCACTTGAGAATGAACCATGGAGGTTCGAAACGTTGTGCAAATTGTATAAACAGGTGTAATACATTCTATAGTAATTCACTTTTTTCTTCACCTTGAAATAACGAAAATGAGTTTTGGAGAACTCCTCTTTCAGCTAAGCCCTGATGCTAGGAAAATAGTTAGAGGAATAGAAGCCCTAAATCAGAAGATAGTAAATACAGAATATGCGGTCATATTCAATGAGACATGTTTAAAAGAAAACCTACTGTCAGTATACACCAATTATTTATATATATATATATATATATATATATATATATATATATATATATATATATATATATAACTGAAAACTCACACCCCAGAAGTGACTCGAACCCATACTCCCAGGAGCAACGCAACTGGTATGTACAAGACGCCTTAATCCACTTGACCATCACTACCGGACAAAATGAGGTGATAGCCTAAGCTATTTGAACCACCCCACCGCCGGCACTCGGATAGTAATCTTGGGCATAGCATTTTACCAAATCACCTCATTCTTTGGGGCACACGTGAGGAACACAAATGCGAACAAGCCTGAATGGTCCCCAGGACAATATGCAACTGAAAACTCACACCCCAGAAGTGACTCGAACCCATACTCCCAGGAGCAACGCAACTGGTATGTACAAGACGCCTTAATCCACTTGACCATCATGACCGGACAAAATGAGGTGATAGCCTAAGCTATTTGAACCACCCCACCACCGGCAAACTTCTTGGGTGTGAGTTTTCAGTTGCATATTGTCCTGGGGACCATTCAGGCTTGTTCGCATATATATATATATATATATATATATATATATATATATATATATATATATATATATATATATATATATATATATATATATGTATATGTATATATATGTATATGTATATATATGTATATGTATATATATGTATATGTATATATATGTATATGTATATATATGTATATGTATATATATGTATATGTATATATATGTATATGTATATATATGTATATGTATATGTATATATATGTATATGTATATGTATATGTATATATATGTATATGTATATATATGTATATATATGTATATGTATATATATGTATATGTATATATATGTATATATATGTATATGTATATATATGTATATGTATATATATGTATATGTATATATATGTATATGTATATATATGTATATGTATATATATATGTATATATATATATATATATATATATATATATATATATATATATATATATATATATATATATATATATATATGCGAACAAGCCTGAATGGTCCCCAGGACAATATGCGACTGAAAAATGTTGCAGCATGTGCAACAGATGGTGCTGTTTAAAATAAAAATAAACATATTACCTGTCACAGGTGTTGCATTTGTATATTGTTGACCAAACCACACACTAGAAAGTGAAGGGACGACAATGTTTTGGTCCATCCTGGACCATTATCATGTCGATTGATTGATTGATTTCAAGTTGCATCTATACTTATACTCACGAAATGAACGGTATGGTAAACCAAACAGCTCAATTCTAACGCAATATTACACAAAATAATGAAATCAAAATGAAAATAAATTGAAATCTATGAAAATTCAGTTTGTTATTGCAATCGGAAACATTGAAATGGAATCATAACATATTTAGTATAGTGTGTGTTGCTCTTACATGTAACAGGAGGCACTGTTTCATAAAAAAAAGTGTTTTACCCGTCACAGGTGTAGCATTTATACCTATACTTACTAAATGAACGGTATGGTAAACAACACATCTCAATTCTAACGCAATGTCATACAAAATAATTAAATCAAAATGAAAATAAATCAAAATAAATATTTAACTTATATAAGTATATATATATATACTTGCATCTGTTAATGCAGGACACGTTAGAATTTGTTTGGCAACATATAACATTGCTCGCTTCACAATAAAACTACACGTCTATGCATTAATATATGAGCAAATATAATTTGCTCGTATATTTTCAGTATTTTCAACTGAAGGTGTGGTAGTCGGGTCGCCAAGGTGCTGGTGAAGTGAGTGCCTTACAGGAAACATACTGAAAGGTAATGGGCCACTTGTGGGCCACTTGTGGGCTACGTGTGGGCCACGTGTGGGCCCACACGTGTTTGCTATCATTCACGCGTTTAATGCACCGTGAATGATAGTTAACGAAGGTTTAACTTTTGCATGATTCTCAGGTGAATGAACAATTACTTTCTGACTCTGCTGCCTAACTCGCTCAATAGATGGCGTGCTAACTGCGATATTACGTTCAGGCAACTCTGGTTATGTGTGGCAGTTGTCGGCTTAGTGTGATATCCCGACCAGTGAGTCCTTGTTGATAGTTTACAAGCGAGGTTGGTCAGTGGGTGTTGGTCAGTCTGCTCTCTTCTTTCGTTTGGTGAAGATCTGATTCCAATCTTGTGTTTAATTATGTCTATGAAGGCGAGTAAGATTGTTAAGTGTGTGTTTAGCTCATTTATCATTGACTAAATCTAAATTTTCTTGTTAGTTTATGCGGTCTTGGGCATTGTATGGAAGTATACTGAAACAGTTGAAGGTTACTATAACTTTTTTTTTTTTTTTTTTTTTTTTTTTTTATATATATATATACACAAGAGTTGTTACATTCTTGTACAGCCACTAGTACGCGTAGCGTTTCGGGCAAGTCCTTAATCCTATGGTCCCTGGAATACGATCCCCTGCCGCGAAGAATCGTTTTTTCATCCAAGTACACATTTTACTGTTGCGTTAAACAGAGGCTACAGTTAAGGAATTGCGCCCAGTAAATCCTCCCCGGCCAGGATACAAATCCATGACATAGCGCTCGCGGAACGCCAGGCGAGTGTCTTACCACGGAGACTGCTAAACTGTATAGCTTTGATACAGTAACTTTGAATTACTCGGTCGTATGACTTAATTCTGTATTGAACAGATGGCCGTAACGCTGATTTGGATGGGACTTGTGGGTCTCCTAGCAATGGGTGTAGACTCTCAAGGGAAATCTACCGTCTTAACTCCTCACGATGAGACTGGACCCCTCGCCAACGTCTCTACTAACGCCACGACAAAACGACCGAGGGACGTGATGGGAGGTTATCTCTCGACTCGGTGAGTAAACTGAACTGCACCGTTAATTCTTTTAAGAATTTTTACCACATTCGTGCGAATAATTTTTTTATCTTCCTTAGGCCTCATGTTTCCTTCAGTGTGAAAATGGCTACAGAGAAACTTACGGCCGTCGCTCATCTTCATTTTCAGGTAAATAACATTACTTTTTATTAATAAAAACTCTAAAGCATGAGGTTTAGCAGCCTGCTGTAATAAAAGTACCACATGCACTACGTAACTTCGTAACGGGACATGTAAAGACTTCAAATACACGCCACTTGTATACACGCCGCATGGCACGTTTAAACACCTTAAAAATACAGCCATAACTTCAAAAAGTTCTCTAAAAGATCTTCCCTAATAAGGTCTAATGACAAACTTGTGTATTTTCAGGGTATGAGGTATAGAAAAGAAATGATTACAAACTCGCTAGAAACGGTTAAAAGGCTATATACTGATTAACACGGGATGGCGTTCTAGTTTGTCTCGGTTAGGTATTATATTCACATGGCAATTAGTGTTTTCTAAATTTCTAATTTGATCTTCTCGGTCTGGATTCCTGATGGCTCTTAATATGTCGAACGCGAGATCCTCCTATTCGTCCTGAGAACTCTTTATTTAAATTGTGGCATTTTGTCGAACTATCAAATTGCATCTTTTTCATTAAAAGTAAACTCTGATATTAAGTAGAATAATTTTTTCTCTGTAGAAGAAACTAAATTGGTTAACGACTACTATTCACCACTACAGGAAGTGTTGACCAACACAGGAGGCGGCTGGGACACTACAACCAGTGAATTCTTGGCTCCTATTCCTGGAGGATATTTCTTCACTTTCAACGCTGTTGGTGACCGCACCAGCGACTTCACGTGAGTAGTTCACACCCCATTTGACCTACCAAAGTGCAGAGATGGAATAAGTGCCTAAAATATTTGTCTAATTTAAATTTCCGTTTACAGAATGTCGTTGACCAAAAATGGCGTCAATCAGGCGAGTGCTTACGGGACGATGCCGACCTTCGAACACGCGGGTAACTCGGTGTTCCTGGAGCTCAAGAGTCTCGACAAGATATCTTTAGAGTTGCAGCAGGGCAGCATCTACGAACACCCGGGCAACGAAACCTATACATCCTTCGTGGGTTTTCTTCTTTACCGCTTGTAATAGTTTAGTCTAATGTGAAGTGCCTTTATACCAATTAAATTGCATTGTATCATGTTAATTTTAATTTGTTGCCCATAGCTCGTATAGTGTCGCTTAGTCCTTAAACATGTTTGAAATGTGACTTGGAAAAAACTTGGCAAAAAGTTAGAATCTACCATGCATGGGATGAAATGAAAGATTGAAACTATAAACTAGTGTGCCTTAACATGGGTTAACCATCCGTATGGTTAACTAGCCTGTCCTCCTGAAGTGGCCAAACTTCAAGAAAAATAACTTTTCAAGTGCCCTAACCAACCAAAGGACCTAAAAAGGGCAGGATGTAACTATCGCGACCCACTTCACTTTTCTACTGCAATTCTTGGCCTCTTGTAACGCATAAGTGAAATGACTTGTAACAGCACCCCTGGAAACACAAACCGTAACTCTCTATTTTCCGCTTGTTACAATTTGTAATAAAGTTGTTACATCTTGGCTTAACGTGTTTGTGACGTATTAGAACGTTGTTAAAACTAGCTATATTGGTTGTTATAACTGGTTAGGTGTTAAAACTTGTTCGAACGTTGTACCAACGTCGTAGTTTCGGTGTGTTTGGCGGGACTGCTTGTGTTGACAAGCATAATACTTCCTAAAAGACTTTAGGGGTGACTTGTACGTTGTCCCTCTTTCCCCTCTTAACTCTCCCGGCACAATCTTTTGAGGTTGCTTACTAGTTAACCAGAGAAGTGATTAACCTTAAAACGCAAAGAAACTTAAATAGCAAATGGAAACTTGGCTAAATATGTAAAATACTCCTTTGATGGGTGAAGGATGTGTAAAGTATTGCAAAAAAAATTCCTAACTTCACGGATGCAAGTAACCATTTTTAACCATGGGGGCAAGAATTACCAGTATTGGGGGGGAGCGGGGCCTTAATGTGTGAACACTAACAATAAGAGTACATTAATCAAATGTTTGCCAGATGACTTTGGAGGGAGAGACTAATCCACATGCATTTCCTAAGAGGCCGGACAGTGGCAAAATTCTCACCTTGGTTTGGAAATGTTTCCTACCTTGGCTCCCTATGGAGGATCTCGCCTGCTAATGGTAATAAATTTTCTGCTTGGGGGGGGGGGAAAGCATCCTTCCTCTTGCCTCTCATGCTTTAACTTTTACCCCTCCTGCGGTTCCTGTTCCTCTTCACCACCTAACCTCTTTCTGTCCGGTTATCACGCTTACAGGATTCTCTTTCCGTTCGTGGTTTCTAATGTTTCTCCTCGTGTTCCTTCTTTGCCCCCGTGGAGAGTCCCTCTCCCGCAGTTTTGTACATACTTGACCCACATCACTAAAGCTTTTACCCCTCCTACGGTTCTAAAACGCCTTTTCCTTGAGCACTTTTCTTCTCACTCCCGCTCCGTTTAAACTTCACCGATGGGTCTAAGTCTGCGGACGGTGTTGGCTACTGTTTTTCCTGATCGCACTTGTATGTGTCGCTTGCCTCCGGAGACTAGCATCTTCACAGCGGAGCTTTATGCTATTCTCTCTGCTCTTCGTCTCCTGCTTTCTCGCTGTCGGTCTTCCTTTGTAGTTGTTGACTCTCGTAGTACCCTCATGGCTCTCGGGTCCTTTAATCCTTTTCATCCAGTAGTTGTCGAGATCCAGCATTGGCAGTTTCTTGTTCACAGTAAATTTAAGTCGGTCGAGTTTTGTTAGGTTCCCAGCCATATTGGTGTGTCTTTAAATGAGCGTGCGGATGCTGCTGCCAAGGAAGCTGTCTGCTCTTGTCCCATCTCTCGTGAAGGTATTCCGTATTCAGACTTTTACCCGGTTATCCATTCCTCCGTCCTAACCCGTTGGCAAGATTCTTGGTTGTCTGTTACTGGTAACAAACTACGTACTCTTAAATGTTTTCTCGTGGCCGTCCTCCTTCCACCGTAGCCGGCGATGGGAAACGGCTCTGGCGAGGATGCGTATTGGCCATACTCGCTTAAACCATGGTCACTTGATGGAGCGCTGCCCTGCTCCTTATTGTCCTAATTGCATTGTCCCTCTTACGATCGTGCATGTCCATCTTGAATGTCTCTACTTCCAGGACGAGCGTGTCACCCGTCCCTCAATGGAATTCTTGGTGACTGATACTTTTGATATCGTTCGCCTTATGCGTTTTTGTTCTCGTATTGGCATCCTTGGTGATATTTAGCGCCCTCTGATTATTCCGCACATTTGATGGTGCTACATAGCCTTCCCGGTTTGGTGCATTTTGATAATTACTAGTGTAGTTTCCTCCTGGACCCCCCCCCCCACGTTTGTTTGCGTACCACCCATGATAGTTCCCTGTCATTCTTCTTGATTTTGGAGGTAGTGATACCTCCCAGAGCTCTCCAGTCTTTCTGCTGCGTGAGGTGCATTTCACGTAGGTTTTCCTCGTGTCTCTTGGTTATGGGACTAACCTAGTGGAATACCTGTACTCTTTCCAACTTAGTCTTGTGCTTGACAAAGTACGGGCTCTATGCTGGGACCACATACTCAGATTAGTCTTACATATGTGGTATAAAAGGTTCTTAGGGATATCTTACAGGTTCCTGAAGGCAGTGTGATGTTAGCCAGTCTTGCATACGTAGCAGATGCTATTTTGATGTGGTCTTCAGAATACAGGTTTGGCATGATTTTCAACTCTTGGATATTTCTCCGTACGTTTCATGAAGGACTTTATCTACCATTCGGTATCCTGTCTGGCCTCGCGTTTTCCTCCACCTAATTACCTTGCATTAACTTGGGTTGAACTTTAGTAACCATTTGTTATACAATTCCTTCAGTTTGTCTAGGTCATCTTGTAGCCTCCAACTATCTGTCTTAATCCTCCTCCATATTTTTTTGCATCAGTAAAGATTAAGAGGAAAGTCTCTTCCCTCTGTTAGCTTATTTACCTATATCGGGAACAATACAGGTCCAAGAACTAATACCTGTGGGACTCTCCTGGTGACGCCTCACCAATCTTCAGTCCTCACCCTCCTCAGTGACATGCTGTCCTGTTGCTCAGGTACTCTTGTCTAATGGAGTACCTTCCCTTTCACTCCTGCCTGCATCTCCAGCTTGTGCACAAGACTCTTGTCTGGTACTGTCAAAGGCTTACGGGCAATCCAAAAAAATATGCATTCTGCCCACCCCTTCTTGCCTGATCTTTGTTGCCTGGTCGTAGAATTCTTAACCTTGTGAGGCATGAATTGCCCTCCCTGAGCCATGTTATTGCAATTCTTTTGCTTCGGATGTTCCATTATCTTTTTCCCCACAATCGTCTCAATTTGAAAGGTTTGAAAGCTAGACACTGACCTGTAGTTCAGTGCCTCATGTCTATCCTGCTTTTTTCATATCGGGACTACATTAGCCGTCTTCCAAATTTTGGGCAGCTCACCTGTGATCTGTTACACATTATGTAGTGGCAGACAGCTTCTGCTCCTTCCTTTAGTATCCATGGTGAGATTCAAACCGGGTCTTTAGCCTGTCACATGGAACTCTAGCAAAAGCTTCCTCGCCTCCCCATTGGGAATCTTAAACTCCTCTAGTGGTTTCTGGTTAACTGTTCCCTCTCTTATCTCGGACTTTTCCTTGCTCTGTTGTGAAGACCTGGAATTCCTTAAGTTCCTCGCACACTTCAATATCGTTTGTAGTGAATCTGTCTGCCTCCTATCCTCTGTTTCATTATCTGTTCCTTCACTCTTGTTTTCTTCCTGATGTGGCTATGCATCAGTTGATTCTTTGTCTTGCTTGCTATTACATTTTCGTGTTGTCTTGCCGACTCTTACCACCCTGACGTATTCATTCCAGGCACTCTGGTATCTTTATCTGCTCTCGTGTGTCTTGTTATTTCTGTAGTTTCTCCACGCCCTTGTACTTAGTTGCTTAGCTAGTTTACATCTCTCATTAAACCATGGGTTTCTTGTCTGCATTTCGTCTTTCCTTTTGGACCGGGTCGAACTTGTCTGCTGCCTCCTTACACTTCTGCGTGATGTAGTCCATCATGTCTTGGGTCGTCTTTCCTCTGAGCTCTACTTCCCATGTTATATCTGTTTGGAATTTAATTATCTCTTCAGAGTTAACATTTCGGAATGTCAGCCTTCAGTTTCCACGTCCCTTCCAAGAATACATTAACCCTACTCCCACCAGATACTCAACGTCAGTACACTGTGGTGGCTTATTCCCTTGACTCTCAGGGCCCCTCGAGAGACCGAAATGCTTGATCTAGCAGAGTTAGGTCACCTGCTCGTTTGCTTGAACTTCGTCGCGGCTGCATTGCTCCAGTTTCTCGCGTATCTCATAAAATGTCCCGATTTTCCGGGTGATCACGTGTCTTGTGTGTCTCGGTACTGGTATCCTGAGTGATATTTAGCTGTGAGTAGCCCGCTACAGTGTCCTCCTGGTGTGTGGTAGCCCGCTACAGTGTCCTCCTGGTGTGTGGTAGCCCGCTACAGTGTCCTCCAGGTGTGTGGTAGCCCGCTACAGTGTCCTCCTGGTGTGTGGTAGCCCGCTACAGTGTCCTCCTGGTGTGTGGTAGCCCGCTACAGTGTCCTCCTGGTGTGTGGTAGCCCGCTACAGTGTCCTCCAGGTGTGTGGTAGCCCGCTACAGTGTCCTCCTGGTGTGTGGTAGCCCGCTACAGTGTCCTCCAGGTGCGTGGTAGCCCGCTACAGTGTCCTCCAGGTGTGTGGTAGCCCGCTACCCTGTCCTCCAGGTGCGTGGTAGCCCGCTACAGTGTCATCCTGGTGTGTGGTAGCCCGCTACACTACAGATGCTTGACTTCGTTTAGGAAGTACTATGCTTGCCAACACAAGCAGTGCTGTTACAAGAGTCATTTCACTTACGCGTTACAAGAGGCCAAGAATTTCACTAGAAAAGTGAAGTGGGTCACGATAGTTACATCGTGCCCTTTTTGGGTCCTTTGGTTGGTTAGGGCACTTTAAAAAGATAATTTTCTTTAAGTTTGGCAACCTCAGGAGGACAGGCTAGTTAATCATACGGATGGTTAACCTATGTTAAGGCACGCTAGTTAATAGTTACAATCTTTCTTTTCATCCCATGCA